AACCTGTAGGGGAAAGAGAGAAAGTGGCGTCAGGGCAGGGGCAGCCCCGCCTCCCAGCCTCACACCACTGGTCTACGCTCCGGGGCAGCCCCACCTCCTTCACACCATTGGTCTGTGCCATCGAGCAGCCCCGCCTCCCAGCGCCATACCTCCCTGCCCCTGAACCAGGATGCAGAAACCCCGCCTCCCAGCCCCACGTCCCTACACCATTGGGCTGTGCTCTGCAAAAACCCCGCCCCCCAGCCCCATGCCTCCCTGTCCCATGGAAAGCTCCGCCTCCCAGCCCTGCATCCTCATGCCATTGGGCTGTGCTCCAGGGCAGCCCAACCTCCCAGGCCCTGCCACTGGGCTGTGCTCTGAGAGCCCCACCTCCCAGCCCCACACCCCATGGAAGCCCCGCCTCCCAGCCCTCATGGCACTGGGCCAGGGTCAATGGCAGTCCTGCCACCTAACCTCGCGCCATTGGTCAACACCATAGGGCAGCCCCACCGCCCAGCCTCACACCCCCATGGCCAGCGCTGGGACTCACGTGACTTCGCGGAAGGCGCGCTTCTCCACGTACTTGAGCCGGTATTTCCTCTTGAACCTGGGGCCACAGGGGTGGGAGGGGGTTAGAGTCTTGGCCTGCCCCCCCCAGGCGTCCCCCCCAGGCAGCCGCATGGGGGGGGCAGCCCTTTCACGTCTCCCCACACCCCAGCCAAGGCAGGGACCGAGACCGTGGCACTCCTCTGCTCCCACAGCTGGCCCAGACCTGCCCCCCATCCACCAACCCCGATGCCCCCCAACTCACTTGGCTCTCTCTCGGGGCTCGATGAGGTTCCTCTTCTGCAGGCTCTTGAAGCGGTCACGCAGGAGGCTGCCTTCAGGCTGGGAATAGAGGAGCTGTCAGAGAGGAGAGGGCTGCCCCCATCTACCCCCCCCAGGTTGTCCCTCTACCCCACAACCCAGCTGGTGCCCTCAGCCCCGGCCTGGCCTGCGCGGCACTGCCGGGGACCCCCAGTGACTTCACATTCCCGCCGGGAATCCTCATAGCGCAAGGATGGGTCTCATCACTGGGCACCAGCTACCCCCGCTCCAATGCTGTGGGAAAGGGACCCAGGAGTCCGGGCACCCAGTGCTGGACCACGCGGCCTACCCCAAGCTGGGGGATGAACCCAGGAGTCTGGGCATCTGGTTCCAACCCCATGAAGGTGGGGAAGAGAACCCAGGCTTCCAGTCAATAATCTGTCCTCAACTAACCACTAAACCCTGCTCCCCTTCCCAGTCTCAGTCTGGAACCCCGGTGTCTTAGCAGTGGGGGGCGGGGGTCAGTTTGGTGCCCCCCCTCCAGCAACCTTGAGGCCAAGGGATGGGCACAGACGCCCACTGACCTTCAGCACCCGCAGGGACTCGGGCAGCTCGTCGCTCAGCTGCACCTGCAGGTCGGGGTCTTCATACCTGCCAGGGGGTGGGGGGCTTAGCCAGTGCTGCCCCCGCCAGCACGGAGCCCCCCCACCATGCCCCACGCACACCCCCACACCCAGAGCTGCAGAAAACACAGGCATCTGGGCCCCCAGCCCGTGCCCTGCCAGCACTGACCGGAGGCGGCCGAGGCGCCGGGGGGCGTTGGCCTGGGCCTGGCGTCGTTGCAGCCGGAGGCGACGGCGCCGCAGCAGCTCGGCCTGGCGCTGCATCACCTGGCGCCGGATGGAGCGGAGCTGGAAGAGCTCCTGGCGCCCACGCCGCGCTGCCTGCTCCTGTGCCTGCTGGGCTGCCTGGGAGGGAGGGAACTGTGTCAGACACCTGCACCCCGCCCCCACCCCTCACCTCGCTGCCCTCCCACGGCCTGGGAGAGCACCCAGGTGCCTGGGTTCCCAGCCCTGCCCTGCTCTCACCGAGCCGAGGAGAGAACGCAGGGAGTCCCCTCAACGACACCCCCAACCAGAAAGGGAACCCAGGAATCTAGACTTCCCAGTCCCTGCTGCTCCCCCACAGCCAGGGAAAGAAGCCAGGTGTCCGGGCTCCCATCCCCGCGCTGTGCTCACCCCCCAAAACCCACACTGCCCTCCTAGGCTCAGGGAGGGAACCCAGGAGCCCAGCTAAGAAATGGAGAAAGAACCCAGGTGTCCCAGCTGCCGGGCCCTGGCCTCGGCTCTGCCATCAGGCCCCGCTGAGCTCCAAGATGGGGCCAACGATCCAGGTGTCCGGGCTGCCAGTCCCACACCCTCCTACGTCCCGTGACCCCACTCCCCCTGGGGCCACCCAGGAGAGGCCTGCAGGTTCCCTGGAGTGAGAGCCCCCCTGCCCCCAATCTGGAAGGATCCTGGACTGAGACTGGCCCAGCTCATCACATGCCAGTAAGGGGGGATGGAGGGGAAGAACCCCAGACTATCCCTGCTCTTCCCAATCCCACTCACCAGATTCTTGGCCTCTTTCTCCCGCTTGCGCTGCTGCTCCGTCTTCTTTCCCCGTGGTGGGGCTGAGGCCGGGGCCAGAGCCGGGGAGATGGCTGGGGCTTCGGGCTCCCCCTGTGGCAGCTCCTCACCCCCCTCATCCCCTGACTCCTCCAGCAG